TCTATCTCAAAAAACTTTTCAAGAACGCCCTATTTCAGAATTTTATTGAAAAACACCTTATCTCAAAATTCGGTTCAAAAACGCCCTATCGCACTTCAAAATGTATTGAAAATATGCTGATATAGGGCGTTTTTGAATCGGCAGCTGAGATAGGGCGTTTTTGAAACGAATTCTGAAATATGGCGTTCTTGAAAAGTTTTTTGAGATAGAATGTTTTCGAACTGGCTGCCGAGATAGGTCGATCTTCCACTCAGCCATCGATTTGAAGGCATTTATCAAGAATTGTCTTTATTCTGTTTAGTCGCCGTAAAGCAAGTACCGAAATCGGTGATTGATTTAACGGTGGTAATTTAAATTTGATCCTTGGTGTCTCCGATTGACTTCACTTGACGATTTTTACCAATAACTCGACTCAAGCGCCAGATATTGGCCCTACCTTTACCAATATATTTACATCTCGAATATGAGCCAAATCGGACAATGAGACTAATCGGCCACGAGACAATCGGACAATGAGACAAATCGGCAACGCTTACCTTGCCTTGCCCCGTTCATCGCATTTCATGGATGGCGGTGATGTCAGTCTTTATTTTCCCGAGGACATTTATTCATCCGAGGCATAGTTTTTTTTCATTGGGCAGTGTTTTAACGTGCAGGGACCAACACCCAGCCCACGCGGGGTTATACGTCTTGTCACATTAGCTCGCTCCCAAAAGGGTGTTTGGTCGCTACCCAGGATATATGTGGATATAATTATCCGGACGAATTGAGCTGCGATTTGAACCGTAAGAAAACAAATCACTTCTGGCCACTCCCAAGTGAATGACAAAAGCTTTGCAATACTGGGAAATTTACAGAACATAGTGGTCAAAGGCGAATATCCAACTAAAACCTAATGAATTTTTTAAATTCATAGCTCTACATACCTGTAAACCAAATAGACGGACAAGACGTGATTCTAAATTAAAAATAGAAAAAAATAAAATTTTCCGCATACTACAGTGATTCCCAAAGTGGTCCAGGAGGACCCCCAGGGGTCCAAGGGAGACTCGACAGTGGTCTACGTTGGCGTGAAAAAATATGGGGGTCCCCGAGTTGTAAGTGGTGGTCCACGAAAATTCATCTGGTCTCGATAGTAAAGAACCAAAATGGTTGCTTGATAGCCTATTAGTCTTAAAGGCCACCTGCACTAAAAAAGAAACGGATGTTGGTATAACACTGAGTGAGGCGATGCGGAAATTGCCGGCGGCAGATATTGGAGCACTTGTGTCTTTTCAATGCTACAGGATAGTACGCCACCATTACCTTTGTTGAAGAGATTCTACAGAGAGAGAGTTCCCTGAGGGGAATGCTGGTTTAATTCCAGCACTGAGCCCGCGCTCGCACATTGTCGAATGTTCACTGATGGCTCCAAAACTGACTCAGGGTCAGGATCTGGGGTATTTTTTCGAAGTTAATGGTGATAAGCTTCGCTTTTTCTTCCAGGCTGAGGTATTTGCAATCCCAAGGCCATAGACTACGTTGCTAATTATTAGTTTACAGTTCGATTCATTTTCGCTCATTGTCGACTACGGCCAGGTTTTTACTCTCCTTAAATAGAATTACTTTGAAATTAGCGAGAATAACTTGAAACAGAACCGGATAAAAAAACTTGAATGTTAGGAGGGGGCCCAAATTATCGAGATAGCATTTCCTGGTACAATTTTTGAATATATAGGAAAAAATTTGGAATTTGGGGAAGCTCGGGCCCCCTGCCCCTACCTGGCTACGCCCATGCTCTTGCTACCACATGAATATATGAATTCGTGATAACAATATATGAATTCGCCTTGGAAGATAGGAAGCGAGTAAGAATAAATGCCGAACAAAGGAATTTGTCTTCTTTCAACTAAAATAAATGCATTTTGCAAACAAAAGTGCGTACGTTACTTAGTGCCTTGGTAATGGCGAATTCGTAAGGATCTATTGATTGCATTATAAACATTTTCATTTATTTGTTAAACATACAATTACTTCCATTACAACCCGGTCTTATTGATGCTAGAAGCGCGAATTCATATAAGGTGGTGTTACCGGAAAATGAATAAAAAAATTATATGTATATCAGAAAATTAATAAGATGAAATGAAATTATTGTTTGATTTCTAACCAAACCTATGTATGTAACTCAATCGCCTAATGGTTTGCCGAACCGTAAACATATGTTTACACATCCAATTTCGTGAGTAGGTACCTGGTACTCAGACCTTTTTGAAGTGAAACTTCTTAGGCGGCGGTATCGCAAAAATGGAAAGTGAAATTTTTAAAACTGAAAACGTTACATGAGTGAGAAAAAAGAAATAAAGCGACGCATGACGGGTACGAGTACCTACATATGTATATATGTATGTTTGAATGCACCTATGTATATATGTAGCGACACAGATAGTTGTGAATAAAACGCTTGCGGCGCTTACTTAACAAAATATGTAGAGGAGCGAGCATCCGTACAGGTCGACGAGCCAAGTAGAAAAGGAAGGAGATTAGAGCACGCTAGTTAGACGTGTGTATTTTCCAGGCTCGATACTGGAATTTGACATACTGAGCGAAGCTCTCAGCTGTTTACGAGTACGCAGCTCTCAGTGTGTTGAAGAGTTGCCACACGCCTCCCCTTGTTATTGAAATGTTTTATATTACAAAAAATTTAGATAAATACAATGTATGTGAAATTATAACTAGAATTAGTTAGACATTATCCGCAAAATGAACATGTCTTGTAGCTTGGCTAGGTCTTGCTACTGTTTGTTGATCTTCAGCCGATGCTTCGTCGTCTAGCTCGTAGACAGGCTTAAGTCGATCGACGGATACTGGGATTCGCTGCCCTTGGACGTCGGCATAAAAATGTTTATCATTGCGTGATATAACAGGGCACGGCCCTTGATATGGTGCTGCAAACGATGGTCCGATTTGGCCTTTTCGGATTAAAACATGGGTGCAAGTATCAAGTTCCCTGAAACGAAAAATAGAACGTTTTCCATGCCGCGACATTTCGACAGGTGCTAGCTTGTGAAAGTGATTTCTCAGACTTTTTAGCAGTCTCTGAAGGGGCTGGGCTTTGTTTGCTGGATTAACAAACTCGCCAGGAAGTCGAATAGGCTCACCATAAACCAGTTCAGCGGGAGTTGTTGATTATCGTTCTTCCATGAGGCGCGTAATCCCATTAGTACGATTGGTCGTACGATGACATAGCAACGCCGACTTCAACTTCCGATGCAAACGTTCAACGAGTCCATTGGCTTGAGGATGGTAGGGCGTAGTTTTTAAATGGTTGATTCCAAAAAGTTGTACGAGTTGACGAAACAGGGTAGATTTCAATTGACCATCGCGGTCTGAGGTTATTCTCAGAGGAACACCATACCTTGCGATCCAGTGATAAAATATTGCACGTGCGATTGATTCCGTATTCCCATTTTCTAGAGGGACTGCTTCAGGAAAGCGCGTAAAACGATCCATTATCGTCAAACATTGACGAAAACCGTTAGACGATGGAAGTTCGATCAAGTCTATGTGGATATGTTCAAAACGTTGTGTCGGCAATTGAAATTGGCCGGGAGTTGTGACGGCATGGCGCTGAATTTTGTTTCGCTGGCACTCAATGCATGCTCTTGCCCAAGCGCGACAGTCCTTGTTTACAGCAGGCCAGACGTAACGACTTGTTATTAGCTTCTGCGAGCAGCGTACACCGGGATGAAAGCGAATGTAGGGCATCGAACACTGGTTTTCTTAGTGACGAAGAAACGAATGGTCGGGCTGTACCTGAAGAGATATCACAGTACAGACTGACGTTGTGCTCTGGGATTTTAAGTTTTTGTAATTGAAGCGTCGCGTTGGGATTAGTAACGAGCTGTTGAAGCTCTGCATCGGTTTCTTGCGCAGCGGCAATTTGTTGCGGCGAGACGGAAATCGAGACTGCTTCGACACGC